CGCCTGACCCCCAGCCATGCGAGGACACCCTTGTTGCAGCTGCAGAAAGTCGCACGCATGAGGCGTCGAGATTTGTCTGTGCAGCAGTGCCAAAGACCTTGATGGAACGAGATGTCGCGATCGGAAGAAAGACTGCCATTGTTCTTCAGCAGGGTGATGGCATCTTGAGCAACCTCTCGTGCGACAAGGTTGTGGTCCGCTTGGACTTGCACAAACTCATTGATAACACCTCGGGGCGAGAAGGGCCAGGCGGCCTGGTAGAGATCTCCCACAGCATCGTTGGACAGCAGATGGAAGTTGACCTTAGGAAAGCCCTCGTCTTGTCCGAACTTGAGCCATGTCGCGACGATGCGCGTGGTCATGTCGTTCAGACGATCCATGGGAACTGAGCCGTTCAGGACGGAGCGCGTCAAGTCGTACATCCAGTAGCTGTAACCGAACAGGGGCACTTGGGTATCTCCAGGCATGGCCATATTGAGGCCCGCAATTGCTGTTCCATGTTAGTCGGCGAGCAGCATGCCTAGGCGGGACGTGATTTACCAGCGTCGACACCAGACATTTGCGAAAACCAATCGCTCATGACGAACCCCTGAAAGCCCAGCTCATTCTTCAGAACGCCATTGATCATCTGGCTGTTGTGCACGCTTGCAGAACCATTGACCTGTCAATGCCATTAGTAGCCTGCCACCGTCGCATTATCGAAGAAGCAACAACTAACCGCGTTGTAGGCTGTCATGACGGCGCCGGAGCCTGCACGAATGCCCTCGGCAAACGGCCAAAGGTAGATCTCATGCAAGGTTCGGTCGTCTATCCCTGTCAGATTTGATGACGTGCCGGCACGTCGACGCCGATCACTTACCAATATTCGCGCTCAGACCCTGCTGCAAAGGGTTATACATTCGGTACCTGAAATTGTCAGTTAAATAAAAAGCAAGCAGAAAAAGAACGATCATGATTGAGACTGACATTTCCTGTTCGTTTCCGATCAGATGCTTGATCGTGGCGATGACACCTTGCTCCTGAACACCTTTGATCGACAGGGCGCCAGCCTTGGCCTGAAGCACGGGGTCCGAGCCGAAGCCCTCCCAGTTACGACCGCCTTTGGGCTTGCGGCCCAGGGGACCAACACTGGGCCCTAACCAGACGTTGACACCCTTGCCGCGAAACTCTTTCCCGAGCGCGACGGCACGACGGTAGATGAGGTCTTTGTCCCAAGTGGCGCCTGTGGTGATGCCAGGCGGGAACGCGGTGACATTATCAACTTGGTTGACCCCAGTGGCTCCATCACCTAGG